TTTTTCCTGACAGTTTCATTGTGTTGTACAGGCTGGCCTCAAATTCATGGTGATCCTCCTGCCTCAATCTCCAAAGTGCTGGGATTACAGGGCTGCACCATTACATTTTATTTGGTTTTAATTTTGTGGAGTTTTTCCCCACTATGTAGTTTACTTTTCATTTATTTATTTATTTATGCAGAACCAGGGATTGAACTCGGGTCGCTTGCCAGGGAAGTGCTTATTCTACTGAGCTATCTCCCCGACACCCCGCTATGTAGTTAAGTTCAGCAGGCCTTGAACTATGTAGCCCAGGCTGGCCTCAGTAATTCTCTTGCCTGAGGCTCCCAAGTACTGTGACAGTAAGTATGTGTCACCCACCTACCCAATTGTATTTCCATGATTGCCCATCCTCAGTGAGCACTGTAAAAACTGTTCCCCATGGGTTTTCACATCTTCATTGATAAAGGTTGTAAAGCCATGCCAAACTTTATTATTTTTTTTATACCAGGAGTAAAACTCAGGACCTTGCCCTTGCCAGGCAGGCACTTGTGCTGTTGAGCTATATCCCTGGCAAAACTTTGATTTAAAAAGTATGTTAATGTTTCTTTTTTGTCATATAGTATCACCTGTAATCATACCTTCCTGCCCCTGATGTACCAATGGGACAAGGACTGAGAGATAGCCTATAACTGAGAAGTGACACATGATGATTAGCATAGCATGTCCAAGAAGGTGTTTCTTGGCAGTTCCAGTGGCACCACTACAGGATGACAGGATACCCAGCCATCTGCAGGTCTGTCTTTCTCTCCCAGACCTGGGAACAGTTTTTTTTTTTTCTTCAGAGGCCAAGCGTCAGCAGCTTCTGTACTCTGGGTATCTCTGTGTACCCTCTGATGCAGTTTAGCAAGGAGCCCTATCATCTAGAGCTATGTTGTTATTCCCCTCTCATTAAAAAATCATCAGGAGTCAAGCAATGCCATCTTCTGCCTCCTGGTCACCTGGTAGGCCAGCCATACTTCTCCACTTGTCAGCTGCTGGTTCAATGCTGGTCCTGGAGCCAGCGCAGTACCCTGGCCAAGCCAGTGCCTTTGTGGGCACTGATTTCTGCTATGGTGATGTTCTGCTTAGCACAAGCAATGATGTCCGGCAGCCTGATTAATGACTGAATCTCCTCTGTGGTCATGTAGCAGGGTAGGTCACTGTAGTTAAAGAAGTGCCATCAGAGTGGTAGCTGTCACAAACTTGCCCCATCCCTGGTTGTACCCCCTCATTCTCAACCCATGTACTTTGCTGCAGCCCAAAAAGTTCCTCCCTGGGATTCTTCCCACTCTCCCTCTCCAACCCCGTATGTTCCTCTTATCCTGTAGACCCATACATTTTATTGAAAAGAATCAGGACTGATACGTTTGCAAGTTGTTCTGCAGAAAGGAGACCCAAGAGTTGCACACAGGAGGCAGACAGCTGGGTGGGGTTAGAGGCATCCATCATGAACTGGGGAAGAAGAAAAACAACAGCAGCACCCTGTGATCTAAGAGAGTCCTGGCCAACCTCCTTGCCTGGGCCAACCTCCTACACGTGGCTCAGGAAGATGCCAATGACTTTTGCAGTAATAGAGATCAAACTTAGGGCCTCAAATGCTAGGCAAGCACTCTACCATGGAGCTACACTCCCCAGCATCTACAATGACTTTTAAATAACGGCCTTTGGGACCTACACAAAAGCAGGGGAAATGAGTAGTATAGGAATGACCTAGTGTCCCTTGTTTGTTTCCACCTACGTGAAGTCTGTATTCTTGTGGCCATCAATTCTCCATCTTAGAACTTGGGGTATGGGCCTTGCCAGAATGGGACCAGCCAAAGAGATACAAATCAAACATAAATGTAGGATTCACCCAGGAACCAATGCCTAAAATATAGACCACCTTCAACAAGCCTCCCCAAAGCTATAACAGCAGTCAATCACCAAAAATCAGACTGCTGCGCATAAGGAGGCAAGTCTTGCCTGGGCCCTGTTTCCTCAACTAGTACTATCACTACTGAACCCAAACCTCATACTATGAATAGCAGGGTCCAAAATTATATATATATATCCTAGCTATGGAGTTCAGTCTCGTAGTGATCCTCCTGTCTCAGCCTCACCAGCCCTTGTGAGGGAGCCCTTGAACAGGAGTTTGCCACCATGGCTGGCTTCGGGGCAGGCATGCCATGCAGTACCAGGGATTGAACTCGAGTCCTTGAGCTTGCCAGGCAGGCACTTAGATCCTACGGAGTTATCTCCCCAACTCCAGGGTCCAGGATTTGACAGCTCAGACACACAAACTATTTCCTAAAGGGAGTCCAAAGGATTATGACCCACCAGAAGTGATCGGCAGTTTCCATAGTAACTGGACCAGATGGGAGCCATGCATCCCCCGAGTTCGCGGATGGTGATCTTTCTTGGGACCATGATGTCAGTGAGGTTGGTGCCCACCTGTGGGAAAACCCACAGTATAGAGAGCACAATGCAAGCATGATCTTGAACTCTGGGACAGCAGTGCACATACAGCTTACTGTGGCTTTAACCCTGTTAAGCCCGGTTCTGCAAAGAATCAGACCTGAAGGCAAGACTGACCACCAAGAAAGACAAAGGCAGTTTCTTGGGATCCCGGACCCACGCCCACCAGGAGGATCTAGAGTAGGGGAGAGTAGGGGAAACAAAGAAAGATTTGGGGCCGGGGAGATGGCTCAGTAGGATAAGCGCTTAACTGGCAAACGCAAGCATCTGAGTTCAATCCCCGGTTCCGAAAAAAAAAAAAAAAAAGATGATGGGAGGAGAGTGGGGAGTGCCCGCGCGGGAGGCCAACCCAGGTGCCCCGCTAGGCTCCACTCCGTCTAGTGGCAGGACTTTAGGTCTCCCTGGTCCTGAAGGCAGTCAGATCACTCGACACCTTGGCTTCCCCTCGGAGGCGCCTGAAACGTTTTGCAAGCCGAAAAGGTGGCCCTTCTTCAACCTGCAAGGGGCGGAAACTTACCGTGGGTCGTGTAGGGGGAGGGTCCCCCAGGTCTCCCTTGCCATCCCGGGAGCATAGTTGTATAGGCAGGCGGTCAAGGATCTGAAAGCGGCACAGGATTGAATTCTCCCGCCGGGCGACCCCCAGGAATACCATCCCAGCCCTGGGTTCCCTCGCACACTACAGGACACGGAAGGATATTCTGTAAGCGTTTCACCAGCAGCGTCTTCCCGACGCCTGAGCCCCCCAACAGAAGGCACATTCCATTCCCCGTGCTACCAGCCACCCGTAGCTCGGTGTCGCAGAAATCAAGGCGCGTCTTCTCCCTGCTCTCGCTGGAGAGACCTCGCCTTTTGATTGTAGATTTCTTCGCTAGCCTCACCGCCTCCACGGGCGCGGTCCAATCAGCACCCGTGATCAGCCGGGTCGCCTCCTCGCGACTCCGTAGAGAGGCGGTGATGTGCGCATGTGCACGCTGCCCGCGAAAGGCGGAAGCGGAAGTCAGGGGGCGCGTCAGCTCCGAGTGAAGGAGCGCTCACAGCATCTGTCCGGTCCGGGGTCACCATGGGGCGAGGCAGCGGCACCTTCGAGCGTCTCCTAGGTAACGCGCCAGCGCAAGGCTAGCAGTCTGTCAGCTCACTTAACCTCCTAGCGAAGTCCCCGGGGCCGAGGGAAACAGTGTGGCCCACACACAGCTCTTCTGCTGTGGGCCTCCGGGCGCGCGGCGCCGACCACGGGCTTCGGGTGTGGCCGGCCCGGCCTGGCGCCGCTTCCCCTGGGTGCCAGCGAGCGCGGCAGTCCGAGGGTCGGCGCGGGACCTGACGTCGACCCCTTTGGACAGCACCAGACGAGCTGGGCCGAAGTCCTGAGTCACGAAGTCGGTGACTCAGATTTGAACCTCACACCGGGCCTCTAACTGAATATTAATCGATGGGTGGAGTCCATAGTGTCTTCCCTGGATCTTTTGAGCCCCTTGGATACTGTTTCCTGGGTCCCAGGCTAGCCTCGAGTATTCCCAGGCTCTGAAAGTGCCTAGGTGTTTGGGAAGGCCTTTCCTCCCTTTGTTAGAGATGTTAGCTGATGCTGTCAGAGCTTTTTGGAGACTACAAATTTTAAGTGTCTAAATTCATCCTCTTTGTGACAATGTGCTGTGCCTGGGGACAGGAGCCAGGTGCTGTTATGTTCTCTGCTAGTCTGCCTCTTCCTAAAGTGTAGTTTTGGTTTTTGGGGGGTTATGATTTTTTGTTTTTTGTCTTTTTGAGACAAAGTCTCATTATGCATTTCAAGCTGGCCTTGAGCTCACTTTGTAGTCCAGGCTGGACTTGAGATCACAATTCTCTAGAATGCTGGGATTACAGGTGTGCACCATCACGTCTGGCCTGAAGTACAGTTTTTGAGGAGACGCTTTCTTGGGACATGGAGGCTGAGTATCTTAGCCTTATGAAGTGGTTCAGCACTTTGAGGATAAATCCAGACTCTTGGTAGTCAGTATCAAAGGTGGACCCAGGTTATTAGGTCATTTCTGTGTTTGAGGACAGTGATGCAGGCAGAGTTCTGCAGTAGCACTTCAAGGGTCTGTGGAGGTAATGAGCATGGAGAGAAAATGTATTAGTAGGAGATCCTTGGAGGTCAGTTCTGCTTCCAACACATAAAGCACCTGTAGAGGACTGGACTCCATTAGTCAGTTCTCCAAGGCCTACCTAATGAAAGGGCAATGAAGGTGTGCATCTGAAGGTAGAGATTAGGAGAAGGCAGGTAACAGTTAAAAAGCGGCAGGAGCCTGGTGTTTCAGAGTGAATCCTGGCTCTGTGTGTGGCAAACTGTGTCACCTCATCTCTACTTTTTTTTTTTTTTTTTGAGACGGGGCTTTGCTATATAGTTTAGACTGACCTTGAACTCACTTGTAGCTCAGGCTGGCCTCAAATTCATGGCACTCCTCTTGCCTCAGCCTCCCAACTGCCTCCCAACTGCTGGGATTACAGGCATGCTCCACCATGCCCAACTACTTGTTTTCTTTATCTGCAGAGCAGATGAAGATAGTACTTAGCTCATGAGGTTGTGTGGGACTAGATGAAGTTAATTCAGTGTTTGGAATGGCAGCTGATGTGTAACAAGGCACACAACATGTTTTCTGTGGTTTTCATGCCATTCTGGGAACTTGGAGGATTTCCATGTGCTTCTGTTTTTTGGTTGTTTGGGTTTTTTTTGTTTTTGTTTTTGTTTTTTGGTGGAACTGGGGATTGAACTCAGATCCTTGCCTTTGCCAGTCAAGCGTTTATCCTACTGAGCCATTTCCCCGGCCCCTTCCATGTGCTTTTGATTTGGTCTAAATGTTTAGAAAGAAGTCTAGGAGCTCCAGTGGTGCAGTCAGTTAGCACGCAGTACTTGGAGAACGAAGCAAGTCCCTGTTACTGAAAGGGAACAACCTAGGGAATTACAGCAGAACAAGCCCCTGGATGACGTGTCTTTCTTACAGACAAGGCCACCAGCCAGCTTCTGCTGGAAACTGACTGGGAGTCCATCCTGCAGATCTGTGACCTGATCCGCCAGGGTGACACACAGTAAGTGAGAAGCACTTATACTACAGTGCACAGGGACAGTGTTGTGCAGTGCTGGGCCCACTTGGTGCCCAGCAATTTCTAAGCCTTAACTAACCAGTGAGACCTCATGTGGGCAGTCAGATGGTCTACACACTGGGAATGGCAATCTCTTGGAACATATAGGGTGTTTTCTGTGCGCTGCTTGGAGACATTTGGTTGTGTTAATATTTGCTTAAGTGTGGAAAAGATCAAGATACTAGGCACTGTTTTTTTCTTTCTTTTTTTTTTTGGCACTGTTTCTTATCTTATTTGCTAGAACTGTTTTTCTTTTTCTGTTTCCCATGTTCATTTTCTTTCAGAGCAAAATATGCTGTAAATTCCATTAAGAAGAAAGTCAATGACAAGAATCCACATGTGGCCTTGTATGCTCTGGAGGTAACTGGACCCCCATGCATGTTTTCTGGGTGCCAGCTCTGAGTTCCCCACAACACCCCAGTAGGCAGGTGGACAGCCTTGTCGGCTATCTGGACATATAGCAACGAGTGGCGTTCCTTCTAGCCTTGAGTGCAGTTGTGAACCAAACCACTGAGCTTGGTACCTGTAGGCAGGAAAGGAAGTGATGGTGCTGCTTCACTGAGTATAGTCCATGTGTAAAGCTCTGAGGGTCAGTCTCACTGCTGTTTTTCTTCAACAAGATGAGTAGTAGAGATGACATGGTATGTAGGTTGCTGCCAATCTCTGAAGCTACTGCTTAGGGTTCCTGACATGCTGGCTGGCCTGAGAAGCCTGCTGGAGGTCTAACCCGGTGTGAGGGCTCCCCTGTCCATTGTTCCACTTCTTTTTTTTCTTGGGGTCCTCAGGTCATGGAATCAGTGGTAAAGAACTGTGGCCAGACAGTCCACGATGAGGTGGCCAACAAGCAAACCATGGAAGAGCTGAAAGAGCTGCTGAAGGTAGGTGCCCTCCAGGGTCATGGGAGGGTGGGGTAGGTGCTCCTTGTCACATGGCACACAGTGATGTAGTCATCACTGTTTTTCAAAGTGTTTTTTTTTTTTTTTTCTCTAAAAGTTTATTTTTATTTAGTGTGTGTGTGTGTGTGGCCAGCTCAGCCCACCAGGAGGCGGGGCGGGCTGGCATGTGGTGCTGGGGGATTGAACCGCGGTCCCTGTGCTTTGCTAAGCTTGTTCTAAGTAGGTGCTTTAGACCACTGAGCCATCTCACCAGCCCTTTCAAAGTGTTTAATGGGCTCTTATGACACAGCACTGGATGTGAAGGGAAAGTTGACACTACCTTTGTTGGTACCCTTAGGCCTAGGGAGAGATAGATCCTTGTGGCCCAATCCAGCAAGGCTGGACTTTATCATGGCCCAGTTGCTCCATCTGGAGCGTAGGAAAAGATACCTCATCTTCTTGGGTGGGGTGGGGTGAAAGGTTTCAGAAGGCAGGACTTAGAGTTGAATCTTGAAGGGCACTGGGTATTCCTGGTGGGCAGAGAGGTGGTGGCAGTTGGTGAGTTTATGAGCAGAGAAGTTCCAGAGTAGGTCCCTTGGGATGGAACAGGAGGAATCTGAGGAGCAGAGGAGTCAGAGCAGATGGCAGAGCAAGGGACTGCCTCAGGGAGAGTGGGTTTCATGCCCTTCTTCATTGAAAGAGTAAAAGTCCTTTATATCCCTGGGCAGTTGTCTTAGAGCCACCTCTGAGGATTTTGATGAGCTCAGTGATGCATAGAAGGGGTGAGGTGATTCTTGCTTGAGGTAAAAGATGGCCCACCAAGGTGAACTAGCTTCTTATCTGCCAGAACTCAGGGCTGGACCATGGTCTCTTAGTAGGCTTATGGTACCCAGAGCCCATTTACCTCAGGGTCCAGGTTGACAGCTGGGCTGCTCAGAGCCCTCACTGTGGCATGGGCCAGTTTCTCATGCTGTCCTTGCTGGAAGTGTGCTGTGGTCTACAGCCATATACCTTGAATATGTCTGATTTCATCTGATCTCCAAAGCTAAGCAAGGTCGGGCCTGGTTAGTACTTGGATGGGGAGAAACGCTATGTTCTTCTCCTGCTGCAGGTCCTCTAGACCAGTTGCCACTGATGAGGACTACATTGTGACAGGGAGGGGCCAGTGATGACCAGGTTGCAAAAGACGGCTTACTCTTGTTTCCTTGAAGCTGCTTTTGTCCTCAGATTGGATGTCATAGCCTCTCGAGGCAGCCCCAGACTTGGGGCTGTACCTGGTGGGGATGGTGCCTCTCTGTGTATGAAGCTCCTGGCATAGCCACCTTGCTGCCCCTTCCAGGTTGTGCCAGCTCCACTACCACTGTGTCTTCAGCCCTGAGGTGATGCTTTATGGCTGAGCCTGCTTGTTAGAGAGTGACAGAGCCAGGGGGAGAGTGACAGTTGTGGACCTGTAGGAATCAAATCCTTGATTGCTCAGGGTCCTGTGGGGAAAAGGGGAAAGAGACATATAGTCATGGGCTTAGAAGAGCCATTGCCCTACCTGAGTGTAGATGAGTGAGGGTTCACTTGGGGCCTGCGGACAGGTAGGTTCCTGGCCCCCAAGTGCCACCCAGGAACCCTTCTGGGCCTCTGGTACCCCCCTTGTCACATGGAGATCTCTGGCACCTCGAATGTCCTGTGGCCTGCCCTACCTTCTCCCTCTTCTGCAGAGGCAGGTGGAAGTGAATGTCCGAAACAAGATCCTATACCTGATCCAGGCCTGGGCACATGCCTTTAGAAACGAGCCTAAATACAAGGTG